ACGCTGGCGCCTTAGGTGGAGCGGCCCTATGGGGCCAAGAAAACGCGTGAGGGGTGTGCTGGAGTGGGCGTGGGTGGCGCACGCGGGCGGTGGCACCGGGGCCTTCGTTGGAGCTTCCTATAGGGGCCGAGAAACGCGTGAGGGGTGTGTCGAAATGGGTGTGGGTGACGCATGCGGGCGGTGGCACTGTGGCCTTCGGTAAAGCTCCCAATGGGGCCACGAAACGCGTGAGGGGTATGCGGGAATGTGCGTGGGTGACGCAGGCGGGCTGTGGCATTGGGGCCTTCGGTGGAGCTCCCTATGGGGCAACGAAACGTGTGAGGGGTGTGTCGAAAGGGGTGTTGGTGACGCTTCCGGGCGGTGGCACTGAGGCCTTTCTGTGGAGTCCCTATGGGGCCACGAAACGTGTGAGGGGTGTGCCGAAATGGGTGTGAGTGACGCGTGCGGGCGGTGGCACTGGGGCCTTCGGTGGAGCTGCCCATGGGGCCACGAAGCGTTGTACTGGGTGGGCGAAACGCAAGGAGGAAGGAGGAGGGGGAGGAAGAGGGAGGAGGGAGGAGGGGGAGGAGGAGGAAGCAGACGCGGGGACTGTCTCTTCAAAACGAGGACCCAACACCGCCATTGGAGCCTTCGGTCTAGCTCCCAATGGGGCCACGAAACGCTGTATTGGGTGGGGGTGACGCGTGCGGGCTGTGCCGCTGGGGCCGTCGGTGGAGCTCCCGATGGGGCCACGAAACGCTGCACTGGGTGGGGGTGACGCATGCGGGCGGTGCCACTGGGGCCTTCGATGGAGCTCCCTATGGGGCCACGAACCGCTGCACTGGGTGGGGGGCGACGCATGCAGGCTGTGCAAGTGGGGCCTTCGGTGGAGCTCCCTACGAGGCCACGAAGCGCTGCACTGGGTCGGGGTGACGCATGCGGGCGGTGCAAGTGGGGCCGTCGGTGGAGCTCCCTATGGAGCCACTGAGCGCTGTACTGGGTGTGGGTAACGCATGCCGGCGGTGGCACTGGAGCCTTCGGTGGAGCTCCTTGTGGGGCACTGAAACGTTGTATTTTGTAGGGGTGACGCATGCGGGCGGTGCCACTGGGGCTTTCAGTGTAGCTCCCTATGGGGCCACGAAGCGTTGCACTGGGCGGGGGTGACGCATGCGGGCGATGCTACTGAGGCCTTCGGTGGAGCGCTCTTTGGGGCCACGAAGCGCTGTACTGGGTGGGGGTGGCGCAGGGGAGCGGTGCCACTGATGCCTTCGGTGGAGCTCCCTAGGAGGCCACGAAGCGCTGTACCTGGTGGGGGTGACGCATGCGGGCGGTGCCAGCGGGGCTTTTCGTAGAGATCCCGATGGGGCCACTAAGCGCTGTACTGGGTGGGGGTGACGCATGCGGGCTGCGCCGCTAAGGCGGCCACGAAGCGCTGCATTGGGTGGGGTGACTCAAGCGGGCTGTGCCGCTGGGGCCTTCGGTGGAGCTCCCTATGGGGCCACGAAGCGCTGCACTGAGTGGGGTGATGCATGCGGGCGGTGGCAGTGAGGCCTTCGCTGGAGCTCCCTATGAGGCCACGAAGCGCTGTAGTTGGTGGGGGTGTCGCATGCGGGCGGTGCCACTGGGGCCTTCGGTGGAGCTCCCTATGGAGCCACTAAGCGCTGTACTGGGTGGGGGATGGGGGTGACGCATGCGGGCGGTGGAACTGGGGCCTTCGGTGGAGCTCCCTATGGGGGCACGAAGCGCTTTACTGGGTGGCTGTACTGTGTGTGGGGGTGGCGCATGCGGGCGGTGACACTGAGGCCCTTCGGTGGAGCTGCCCATGGGGCCACGAAGCGCTGTAGGGGGTGGGGGGTGGGGGTGACTCAAGCGGGCTGTGCCACTGGGGCCTTCGGTGGAGCTCCGTATGGGGCCACGAAGCGCACTGGATGGGGGTGACGCATGCGGGCGGTGCCACTGGGGCCCTCGGTGGAGCTACCTATGGGTCCACGAAGCGCTGTACTGGATGGGGGTAACGCATGCGGGCGCTAGCATTTGGGCCTTCGTTGGAGCTCCCTTTGGGGCCACGAAGTGCTGCACTGGGTAAGGAAAACTCAGGGGGAGGGAGGAGGGGGAGATGGATGGAAGGAGGAACGCGAGGCTCTCTCTCTATCTATAGATCGATCTATCTGTCTATCTATCTATCTATCTATCTATCTATCTATCTATCTATCGATCTATATATCTATCTATCTTTCTATATATATATATATCCCCCCTCTCTTCAAAACGATGACCCAACACTACAGGATGGTTTGAAAACTCGCTTGGCGAAGGACCCAGGCATCTGCAGTTGTGAACACCGTCGTTGTATGCACCGCGTTCGGAGAAGCTTCCTGTAAGGCCACTGGCGCCTTCTGTGGAGCTCCCTATGTGGACACGAAACGTGTGAGGGGTGTGCCGAAATGGGAGAGCGCGACGCATGTGGCCGGTGGCACTGGGGCCTGCGGTGGAGCTCCCTATGGGGCCACGAAGCGTGTGAGGGGTGTGCCGACATGGGTGTGGGTAGCGCCTGCGGGCGGTGGCCCTGGGGCCTTCGGTGGAGCTCCTTAGGGGGTCACGAAACGTATGAGGGGTGTGCCGAAATGGGTGTGGGTGACGCATGCGGGCGGTGGCACTGGAGCTTTCGGTGGTGCCGAAACGGGTTTGGGTCACGCATGCGTGCGGTGGCACTGGGGCCGTCGATGGAGCTTCCAATGGGGCCACGAAACGTGTGAGGGGTGTGCCGAAATGGGTGTGGGTGACGCATGCGGGCGGTGGCACTGGGGCCTTCGATGGAGCTCCCTATGGGGCCACGAAACGTGTGAGGGGTGTGCCGAAATGGGCGTGGGTGACACATTCGGGCGGTGGCAGTGGGGCCTGCGGTGAGGGGCCACGAAACGTGTGAGGGGTGATGGGTGTGGGTGACGCATGCGGGAGGTGGCACTGGAGCCTTCAGTGGAGCTCCCTATGGGGCCACGAAGAGTGTGAGGTGTGTGCCGAAATGGGTGTAGGTGACGCACGCGGGCGGTGGCACTGGGGCCTTCGGTGGAGCTCCCTATGGGGCCACGAAACGTGTGAGAGGTGTGCCAGAATGTGCGTGGGTGACGCATGCGGGCGGTGGCACTGGGGCCTTCGGTGGAGCTCTCTAGGTGGACACAAACGTGTGAGGGGTGTGCCGAAATGGGTGTGGGTGACGCATGCGGGCGGTGGCACTGGGGCCTTCGGTGGAGCTCCCCAGGGGGCCACGAAACGTTTGAGGGGTTTGCCGAAATGGGTGTGGGTAACGCATGCGGGCGGTGGCACTGGGACTTTTGATGGAGCTCCCTATGGAGCCACCAAACGTGTGAGGGGTGTGCCGAAATGGGTGTGGGTGGCGCATTCGGGCGGTGGCATTGGGGCCTGCGGTGGAGCTCCTTCTGGGGCCACGAAACGTGTGAGGGGTGTGCCGCACTGGATGTGTTTGTGTGTGTGTGTTTGTGTTTGTGTGTGTGTGTGTGTTTGTGTGTAGTGTGTGTGTGTGTGTGTGTGCGTGTGGTGTGTGGTGTGTGTGTGGTGTGTGTAGTGTGTGTATGTGTGAATGTGTGTGTGTGGGGGGGTGACGCATGCGGGCGGTGGCAGTGGGGCCTTCGGTGGAGCTCCCTAGGGGGCCGCGAAACGTGTGAGGGGTGTACTGACACGGTTGATGATGATGATGATGATGATGATGATGATGATGATGATGATGATGATGATGCTGATGCTGATGCTGATGCTGATGCTGATGCTGCTGATGATGATGATGATGATGATGATGATGATGATGATGATGATGATGATGATGATGATGATGATGATGAGATGAGGAGGGAGGGGGCAGCGGGAGGAACGCGGGGACCGTCTCTTCGAAAACAAAGTGTTCACAGGCCGGGGTGATCAACAGCTATGATTTCTTAAGGATGGGAATGCAACAACAACAACCACCACCACCACCAACAACAACAAATCCGCACCGCAGAAACTCACTTCAGCCACGTATGCATGGCCAGCCAATGACCGTTCGGCCCCACTCTGACTGCTGCGCACAGTCGTACGGGACATCGCCGCTCTGCTAGCCACAATCGTGTTGGCAACGGTGGCAGCAGTGGTGATGCTGGCTCCAGCTCGTGGTGCTGTGTGCAACCAGCTGCTCGACTGCGCAATACTGGCCGAAGTCGTGCTGGTCACAGTCCGTAGCCGCTTAAGCTCAAGCCTGGCGAACGAGCACCACACACCCATACCCATAGGGGGGTCGTTGAGAGGAGGACTGGCTATGGGTATGGGTGTGGGTTGTCGGACCCTGGGGAACGCTCCCGTTCGAGCGGGAACCCCCATCCGACAACACGCACCCATAGCCCTCTCCGACCCCCTATGGGTATGGGTGTGTGTTGTTGGCTCGTCAAAGCCATCCTGGCTCGAGTAGCCGTGGCTCAGGATGCCCCGGACCGAGAGCAACTGGCCGGCCGCACGGCAGCCGCCAGCAGCTGGCTGGCCTTTCCTCCAGCAGGGCTCCGTGTTCCCCCCCGCGCGCGAGGGCGCGCGCCCCCAGCCCTGCCAGCCCCGCCCATGGGCGTCGGTGGCAGCAGCCAAGATTTCGGCCCTGAAGTGGACCTCAGGAGAGGTAAAACGGTATCCACACCGCCAGCTCTGGCTCGTTCCCGCCCCTTCTGGGCCTCCTGGGAGGCCCCCTCGTCGCCACCGCCGAAGTCGCCTCGAAGTCCCGGTCAGAAAAAGCACCCCAGGAGAGGTCCGGGGAGCAGCAGTATTCGGGAGCGGAAAAGAGGGGGGTGATGACTAGGGGGGGGTGATATCATGGCGCGGGCCATGATTTTTCCTCAGATTACATGGCGCCTCTTCTTATTTCATTACGTCCCTGGCCCCCCCGCTGGGCCGCGCACATGCCGCCGGTCATGATTTGCACCCCCCCCTCTTGGACACCCCCCTCTTTGCCGCTCCCGAAGTATCGGTACCTCTGGGTTTCCCCAGGACCTGCAGTTCGTGGAGGAGGTCCTCCGCGTCCGGAGCGGCGAGGCGGCGAGCGCGGCGCTCAGCGGTCGGCTGCTGGGGCCGCCGGAGGTCAGGGACCTGTGCGAGGCGCTCGCCTGCACCCATCTAGGCCTCCCAGATGGGGTCCGAGTAGATGGGGTCAGTGGATCGCGCCGCATCGCCGATGCATCGCCAATGCGGCTCGATGTGGAGCCCGATTAGCTTCACGTCGACGTCGCCGATGCATCGCCCACGTCGACGATGCATCGCCAGTGCATCGCCGATGCATCGCCGATGCATCGCCGATGCATCGCCGATGCATCGCCGATTCATCGCCGATGTATCGGTGATGCGGCTCGATCCTCCGACCCCATCTACTCCGACCCCATCCAGGAGGCCTCTAACCCAGACGCTGAAGGCCCTCGAGCTGGACAGCAACAAGATCGGCGACGAGGGCGCTGCAAGTCTGGCCGAGACGCTCGCAGGGGGCAGCGACGTCAGCTTTCTGGATCTGACCGACAACGGCATCGGCGACGCAGGCGCGATTGCGCTGGGCTCCCGCTTGGGGGGCAACTGCTCGCTGCGCCATCTGGACCTGACGTCGAACAAAATACAGGGCGACGGGGGATTGGCCCTGGGCAGGATGCTCACCGTGAACAGCGGGATCAGGCAGCTAATCTTGTGTGAGAACATGGTGGGCGCGGAGGGCGCACGTGCGATCGGATCTGCCCTCCCAAGCAATCAGTCGTTGCGGATCTTGCACCTCCGCAAGTGCGGCCTCGGTCCAGAGGGGGCCAAGTTCATCGCGCAGGGTCTGATCAGCAAGAGCGCTGCCCTGACAGAGCTGTCCGTGGGGCTGAACGAGGTCGGGGACGATGGCGCGGCGGGATTCGCTGCGATGATCAGGATGAACCAGTCTGTTCGAGAGTTCTACGCTGACTGGAATGGCATCACAAGTTTCGGTGCAGGGTTGATCGCCGAGGCATTGCGAGACAGCGATTGCTTGCAGACACTGTGGTTGGTGGGGAACGACCTGGACGTGAATGTCGGCGCTCAGTTCGCCAAGGCCTTGGCCGAGAACAAGGTGCTGAGGCGCCTTGGCTTTACGTCCAGCGACGCCCTGCCCTCAGAAATTCTCGGGGAGATGGAGAGAGCGACAGAGAAGAGGAAAGCGGCTGCACTGCAGGCCTGCAGCGTCGGCCTCTGCGACGACGACGAGCCGCAGATTCGAGGTGCCACGCCGCGGGCCCTGCCTGGGACGAGGCGTTGCTTAGAGCGAGGTGCCCGAGATCTCGAGGGGGCCGCCTGGTCGCGGTCCTGGTCGCCCAGCGATGCCCGCGCTGCAAAGGACGGGGCGTTGGCGGTGCCCGTGAAACAGTTCGTGGCGCGGTCCCGCTCGCCCGGCACGGCCTGTGCGTCGGGGGAGGGGGACACGCTGCAGGTGCACGTGGAGCCCAGGTCGAGCGAGACGGCGAGGGTGGGGCAGCAGATCGTCATGTGGGACGACACCCTGCAGGTCAGGGAGGTGCTCCCGACGGCGACCAACGGCACGCGGCAAGTCTTGCCCGTCGACCTGTCCGAGGACTAGCCGCGTACCGCGCCCGCGGACATCGCGCCCGTGCCCGAGGATATCGGCTTGCCGCAAGGCGTGACATGAGACGTGCCTACGGCACGTGGTCCATTGCGCCCTGTTGTTTTGCCCGGGGAATCGGCGGGCGATAGCGCCCGTTCCCAGGGATTCGGCCCGCCATGCAGACGGCATCACCCCCGTCGAGGTGTCCGAAGAGCGGGCTCCATCGTCCATGACAAGAGATGGGCGAATAGTCCCACTGTCTTGGCATCGCTCGGACGTGTGCATGCTTCCTTCGACGAGGACCATCGAGGAGCATCCTTCACCATTTGGCGAACAAAAACACGCACGAAACCGAAAACAGCACAGGGAATGGACGTCCGAGCGATGGCGAGTTGTAGCTAAGGCAGACGAATGTGTGGCCCCCTTCCGTGAGGGAATGGGCTTTTAACGACCCGCGTAGGCCGGACTGGCGGTCGGCGCTTCTGAGCGGACGGTAGCGCTCGTGTCCAGGCATTCGGCTCGCCATGCGGATGGCAGCACCCCCGTCGAGGTGTCCGAAGAGCCAGCGCCGTCGTCCATGAGCAGAGGCTGGCAAATGGCACCACTGTAGCTGAAGGCAGTCGAATGTGTGACCCCCTTCCGTGAGGGCATTGGCGGAACGACTCGCTGACGCCGGACTCGCGGTCGGCGTTTCTGGATCCATCGTGGAAACAGATCCACGCGACAAAAAGTCGTCTTGGTCACGGCGCGGTGCTGCTGATTCCCCTGGAGCCAGCGGGTTCCACGCATCACCTCCCATCCGCCCCCGCCCCACATGGTTCGGGGGTGGACAGAACCCCCAACAGTGACACGTCGATTAGTGAAGTGTCCGTTTTCGGCTCTCGAGAGGGCGCCGCGGCCGTTATTTCCCAGGCTTGCGCCCGCCAGGTTTGGGCCTCAGGTCGTTTTCACTGAACCACGTTTTACTAAAGGGGGGTCTGTCCATCCCCGATTTCGGCCCTCGTGGGCAGCTTTCGGGCCCCGCCAGCCCGCGTGCCCATCAGGAGCGGATGCTGGACGAAAAACTATCCTCAGGGAAGCGGTCGGGACCTGGGGCCTCCAGAAACTATCCTCAAAACTATCCAGAACTACACCTCAGGCGATGCTTAAGAAAACCTAAGGTTTCGGCCAGAGTCTCGATTATTCTTAACGTCTCGATGTAAATCTGAAGATTTTAGTAGACACGTTGGGTTTTTATTCACGTTCTGAGACTATGAATTTCTGAACCCATGATTTCTCAAGCATTTCGCAGGGTGTATCCTCAAAACTAGCCTCAAACGATCCTCAAAACTACCCAGAGGGGGGCCTGTCCATCCCCGAATTGGTCGCCGGTGGGAGAGCCCCACGGTGGCCTTCCCGGCGCGGTCGGGTGACCTCGCCCTGCGGCGGCAGCTTGCCCTGGGCACCCGTGGGGCGCCGCCCCGTGCGCACTCCGCGCGGCGGGGGGGGGGTCCCTCCTCCCTGCTCCCTTCCCCTCCCCCTCCTCCTCCTCCTGCTCCTCCTCCTCCTCCTCCTCCTCCTCCTCGTCCTCCTCCTCCTCCTCCTCCTCCTCCTCCTCCTCCTCCGCCTCTTCCATCTCCTCCTCCGCCTCCTCCTCCGCCTCCTCCTCCTCCTCATCCTCCCCCTCCTCCTCCCCCTCCTTGATCACCACAAAGACGTTCGAGCACCAGGATAGCATCGAAGCTGGAGGGTTTCACGTGTCGGGCCCTGGGACGGCGATGCTCGTTCGGCACTCTGCCAGCGTGTCGGGCAGGCAGTGTTTCGATACTTCTTAGGGGTGCTCGAGATCATTTCTGAGGTAGGACCCTTAGGTACGATGGGAATACCATAGCCCCAGGAATCCGCGCGGACCTCCGAAAGCCGATGTGTGTTATGCTGTTCTGTGAGGCTTATGGTTTGTGTCGTCTTCTCGTCGGTGGTTTCAAGGTGGGGTCCTGAGGGATGGGGGCCTGGCTGAAGGACAGGAAGCGATCCAAGAGTGGATTTGTGTGGTCTGAGAAACCCAGTCCTTGGGACTCCGTCCTTCAGGGCCCCGTCGTCGAACCACCAGGTCTGTTTCCTAGCCGTCTCCTCGTCCGAGCCATATCCCGGCCCCGACCTGGGGCACTGGCGCGGCGCGGCTCTCCCAGCTGGGTGCTGCGAGACCCCGAGGGGGGCGGCGCCCATCCCCACCCCTGGGGCGGGGGGCAGATCGGCCAGCGGGGCCGAGGGTCGCAGAACCGGACCAGGTCTGAGCACATGTTCTCGGACCTCCGATGGAAATGGCTCGTGCCGCTTGTGGCTCCTCTGCAGCCGGACCGGGGTATGAGGTCGAGGTCGGTACGGGGAGGGTACCCTCGAGTTCTTCGTGTGTCTTGGGTGTGATCGTGCCCCCTAGGGGGGGCGGTAATTACCAATTCCCCTTGCATGCCCAGTACGTGTGGGCCGACGGAGGGTCTCATGTTCTTCAGGGATGCTCTTCTGGCCTCGGCCCCATTGTAATCCCCAGCGAGTGGATGGTGGCGTTTCTGTTCCTCGCCCAGATCGGCGCCTGGGGCAGAGCGGACCCCCTCCCCCCCCTTCGAGGAGCAAGCAGGAGCGGCCCCATGGTCGGGGAGCCTGCTCTCTGGCCGAGGCTTGATGCGGCCAGGGACGCCCTTCCGATTCGTTCCCTACGTGGCGCTCCTCGTGGTAGCCTCGAAGGGCTGCAAGCACAAATGGGGCGTTCCAAAAAGGGCCTTGCCTTGGAGGATTGGAGGAGCTGTAGGGCAGCGGACGTACATCGAGGCCGCTTCCGCCGGCCGAAGTTGGCGGAAGGCTCATCGTCATCGTCACCAGAATCAACAAAAGTCATGTCATCACCAGCATCATCAACAGCATCATCACCCCAAACACCAGCATCCTCATCGTCGTCAGCAGCACCTGCACCCTCGATATCATCATCAGCATCAGCAGCATCATCAGCATTACCAGCACAACCGTCATTATCAACATCAAGAACAGCAACATAACCATCACCATCTTCATCACCATCAGCATTATCATTAGCATCATCATCATCGTCATCGTCATTGTCATCGCCATCGTCATCGTCATCGTCGTCGCTATCAACAAAGAGACGTCACCACCATCATCATCAACATCACCCTCACCATCATCATCGTTAGCATCGTCAGCAGCATTAACAACAACATCAGTTACATCATCGTCACCAGCATCCTCAAACTCACGATCATAATCAGCAGCATCATCACCGTCGTACGCATCATCACAACCACCATTACCAGCATCAACAACAACATTGCCACCACTATCAGCGTCACCAGCATCATCATAATCAACATCATCAACAGGATAAAGTATAGTCGCCAGCATAAGTATCATCGTTATTGCCATCGCCATCTCCATCGCCATCGTCATCGACATCGACATCAACAACAAACGTCACGCCATCACCATCATCATAAATAGTACCATCACCCTCACCACCATAATCAACATCAACAACGGCATCGTCATTAACATCATTTGGACCAGAACATCAACATCACCACGTTCACCAGCATCCTCCATATCATCAACATCACCATCCACATCCGTAGCAATTTCGGCTCAAGTTGAAACGCGCCCCTTGTGCTCCAAACTTGGACGCAGCCGAGGGGAAGACCCAAGCGTCCAGTTCACAAGTCTGCGACTTCGAGGGCCGCCAGAGGCTCGCTCGTCGCCACAGCTTTTAGGCAGCGCACATTGCCAGCCTTAGTTTCTCTTCGCACCCTCTCTCGCACGATGGTGGGAGTATTCAAGTAGTCGCAGTTTTACCAGCTCATGGGTAAGCTCTCCTCGATCGGTGGCGCCATTCAGGCTCACGACTCGGCCATCGCAGCCATCAAGAATGACGGCGGCTCGGTCAAGCTCTGCAATTCCAGACACCTACGAGGAACACCCACGCAAGTTCGATGCCATCAGTAACTCCCTCGCCACTCTCTCGTATGGGCAGACCGTCGAGGTAGATCCCATGACAGTCGACAGTCAAGCCAAGGAAGAGTTGCTGGCATCGAAGCCTGCCTGCTCGCCCCTCAAGCTCAAGTCAATGAATCGGGGGTGGACAGACCTCCTACCCTGACACGTCGATTGAGGAATTGGCCGTTTTCGGTTCGCGAGAGGGCGTCGCGGCCGTCGCTTTTGCGGGTCCAGGTCCGTCGGTTTCGGTCCCAGGCCGTTTTCACTAAGGGGAGGTTTACTAAAGGGAGGTTTGTCCACCGCCGAATGAACCCCGTTCCTCCTCAGGGGCCTCCGGCTGCATGCGTGCACAATCCTGGCCATCGTCCGCCTCTCCGCGCTCCACCGCAGGCATCGCTCAGCCCGCCAATGACGAAATCAGTTCCAAGCGGCGATGGATCCAGGGATTCGGTCGTCATCTTCCCCGCCCTGAACGCAATGCCCATTTGAATGCTCTGCTCGCCAGGCTGCCCCAACATCTTCGGGAAGCTGCTGACCAGAATTTCTCAGGCCTCGCTCAAAGTTACTCAGTGGAGTTCTCACCAGAGGAGCTCGCCCAGAGCGTCACGTGGCGGTGCAAAGACAAATCCCAGCTCCTAAATTTCTACGACACGAGGCAACAGAAGGCCGTGCCCATCAGAGTTCGCAGAGAGCCTCGTAACGTTCGTGAGGTGCGGCGTGCTTTCTCTCCGCTCTGGACAGTGACCTTCAGCATGATGAAGTCCAATGACGGCTTGTCCGACGAGTTCAAGCTCGGCGCCGATGGATGCCGCGTGGACCTGTACATCACATCGGATCCCAGAGGTTCGATTCTATATATATATATATATATATCATTTCATATGCATCAAAATGCCAGAGGCGCGGTCGGGTTCTGCCCAATCCTCCCGATCTAGCCGAATGGAATATCACAGAGAATGAGGCGCGCAGCTTAGTCAAAGCTGCAGAAGAGTCCGCGTCCAGGCCGGCCACGTACATTTGACGTGCTACCGATCCAGTTTGCAGGTGCCTACCGCCACCCCCGCCCATGTTCCTCTCGCCCTCTCCGTCTACTACATCTTCCGTGTCCAGCAGCCCGAGATTTCTGTGAATGGTCGCCTCCACCCCGCTAGCTTTCTCGGACCTCAAGGTGCCCTCCACATTCTCGACATCCATCGATGTCCCCAAGCCCCTCTCCTTGAAAAGTAGCGGCGGCGAGCCGCGATTGCTGGCGCGATGCCATCTGCGTCCGTCGCCGCAGCCATTCTGCTCGGCGGCTTCAAAACTTTGAAGTGGGAGAAGGTCGTTACCGGCTCGCTGCTGTCCGCGAGCGCTACCCCCCAGCGCGCCCGGCAAGTCGCCACGTCGTTTCCTTTCGCTGCTGAGTGTCGCCAGCCAGCCCCCACCCATGCAGCGCGCGAAGATTCGGCGATCATCTCAGTCTTTCGGCTCGATCGTATTAACATAGACATGCACGCCACGGGCTTCTAGACATGCATGCTCTCACTGGCACATCGTGGTCGGTATTCGGTATTACCCGGCCAGGCGATCAATGCGCTGTCTTCGTCTCGCTCTCACCTCAACAGCACGCTGCTCGCCCGCGCATCGCGCCGCGGGTCAGCGAGCACCCGCTATTCTCTGAGATTATGCAGCAACTCATTCTAGCGCGCGGTCTCTCTGGAGATGTTTTTTCAAAGGATTCGGGGAATCAAAGAACTCATGTTCGAGGCCGGCCAATCCACACAAAACTTCGCGCCCCCCACCCCCGCCATCCGCGCGGGCGTTCGCGGTTAACCGGGCCGCGAAAGGCCCCGAGCTCAGCCACTTCAGCGGCGCAGAGCCGCCGAGGTGGGCCGACAAGCCAGCATTTCAGCAGTTCGCCGCAGCGAACGATCGTGCACTTACAGAGGAGCAGCTCGAGGAGATGGAAAACGATTAGCGCGCCTCCGCTTTCCCGAAAACCACTCGCAGGCGCCGCGCCGCTCGCCGCATGGCCCGAGGGGTCGCGCGCTCTCGCAGATAGAATGTCATTGGAAGATATCTTCCAGACGGCTCTGTGGAACACGAGCCCCGCGCTGCCGCCGCCGCCCCTGCTCGACATTGGGGCGCGACCCACGGAAACAATCCGCCCCGCCCTGGGGGCCAAGCGTGGCTATTAGACCATGGTCGGAACCCTCCCTCCCGAAGTCGACCTGGGCAATTTCGCACGCCCAGGCCATCTATTACATCTATCCGCCCAAGGATTCGAGCACAGGCATCGATGGCGCGCCGTTCCCTGCCGGGTGCAACTGCGGTGACGCAGGGCACCGCGCATTGCGCAGCCCGTTTCTCGGCGTGCTCGACGGCCGAGCCGCGCCCGCTGACTTCATTGCTGACCGATGCCTTGTCACGCCAAGAGTTCTCGAAGCCGAAGAGCCCCCGAAACTCCCCGACCCAGTATCCCTAGCAACGACGACGTGAAAAATCGTTTGCGGGATTCTCAACCCCCGCCCAGCAGAGGCTGCCCAAACCCGTGGTGACCGCCACCGCCGGGGGCTTATCAAAGAGAGGACTCCTTCGGGTAGCGTCCTAGGTCCCCACGGGCTTTCAAATTTCTGGACACGCTTCACGCCAATTCTGAGGCAGGCTGCGCCGTCGATTTCCAGGCTGATTTCCCTCGCTCGAGCACGATTGGATCTGGCTAGCATTAGGACGCATGGGGATCCCGAGTTGCTTCATCAAGATCTTCAAAAACCTACACCAGGAAGTTCACACCGAAATCATGTTTGGCGGCACGAGTAACTATGATTTCTACCTCGGACGTGGAACGCGACAAGGCTGCCCCCTCAGCGGCCCCCTTCTTCGCCCTTGCGCTCGACCCATTCATTAGCGCCCTCGGAGCCGCCTGTCTAACGACGAGGGAAAGATCGGGGCCTTCGCCGATGTCAGTGGCATTGCGCGTAAGAACATATTCCACAAGCTGCCTGAGCTGCTCCGCATTTTTGCCCGCCTGTGCCACGCGTCGGGCCCCGCGACCGATTGCAGCAAAACGGTCATCGTCTCTCTGCGCTTCTTGCGACGAAGCCCTTCATAAGTTCAGGCAGGCCGGCGCAAACCTCGCAAGTGTCAAAATATCGGACTACGCCAAATACTTCGGCGTGCTCATCGGCCGTGAGGCCGCTCTCCGTTCCTGGCACGTTCCCTCATGCAAAGTCGTAGCCCGTCCCCGCGAAGGGAGTGCTGCGAACCTCCCCATGGATTGCTTCGACTGCTCGCGTCAACTCTGTCGGCGCGTCCGTGCTCTTGCATGTTGGACAGTGCTACCCTGCATTCATTGAAGCTCGCACTGCCTACCGTGCAACAGACCATCCACTCGCGCGCAGCCAGAGATTCGCCAGTCCGCACGATGCCCCCATTCGGCTAGACGAGCTCATGAGGCGACCGCCACTGCGAGATCTCGGATGTGAAGTTCGTGCCTCTATGTATCGATGTGCCCTGAAGCCCGCAGCCAGCCTCCGATTCGTGCATGAATTCGACGAGCTCCAGGAGGAATGTGACTCGCGTATCGCTTCACCTATATGTTCAAGCATTCTGCGCTCTGGAAAACGTATGGAAACGTTGGGAATCGGTCTAGTATCTTTCGGGTGCCCAGATGCTACTAAGAGTCTTCGTTTCAAAGCGCCGCGCACAAGCGCTTGCGGGAGTTGGACCCTGGAAACATCCGTTCTGCCCTCCCCCTGCGGTTTCAATATTTGAATTTGGAGCTTTGGAGCATCACTTCGGTGTTGCTCTGCGTAGGTCTTGTCGGGCGAACCTCAGACTTGCCCCTTGCTCTCATCGCCACTCTCAAACGCTGGACTAACAGTTGGAATACTTCTGCCAGGTATCGCCAGGTTCGGGCGTGGATCACCCGACTCCGATCGTATGAGGCACTATCTTCGTTGCCCGTCTGACATGCCTGAAATTCGCCAGCTGCTCCCATCTCTGCCTATGTGGTGGGAGGGCGCCGAGTTCTTTCGCGTCCCATTGCTTCGTCCGACGGCCTGTTGTCTCTCTACGCTGGTATAGACATCATTCACGCCTTTTTTCAAAGGGTTGCGAATCCGTGACGCTGTCTCTGCTTCTCTCGCCGCCTCGCTGCTTCATGCTCGTCTTCGTGCACTTTCATTGCCTTGCGGCCGCACCCAGCAGCTCGCTGCCGGATGACGGCCCCGCACCTGTACTTCCGCGGGGGGAGTCCGCATCATCATCAATTCGTATCATCAACAACAACATCATCACCACCACCACCACCATCGTCAGCACCATCATCATCATCATCATCATCATCATCATCATCATCATCATCATCATCATCATCATCATCATCATCATCATCATCATCATCATCACCACCACCACCACCACCACCACCACCATCACCATCACCATCACCATCACCATCACCATCACCATCATCCTCAGCGTCAGCGTCAACGTCAACGTCAACGTCAGCATCATAACCACCATCGCTTACATCATCGTTCCTCATCCCCCCCCATCCTTGCTTCAGGGGCAACGTCAGGGGGGATAGGCTCAGGAGGGAATGCGCCGACGTCCAATCTCCCATTAATCGCCGATCGGGACCCGAAAGCCCACCCCGCCCAGGAACGCGCGGATTCGCTGTCAGCCGCGTCTGATTCATCGGTGACGCATCGCCGATTCCAGGTCGATGTTTGCCCCGGTTTGCCAGTCCCCCCTAATGCTATTCCGCCGTCCCTCCCTCCGCCCTCCTCCCGCTGCTTCAAACAGTGGGGCGACTGCAGCGTACGGATCCCGCCCGCTCCCTCCCTCCTGCCCCTTCTCCCCCCCCCCGCGCGGCGGACCTGATGGGCGCTAGCGCCGTTGCTTCCGATGGGGCCCAGGCGGGGCCACCTCAGCTCCAAGGCCGTCGCCGCCGCCGCCGCGGGGTCGGCCCAAACATCCCACGCCCAGGAACAAAAAGGAAACAGGACACACGTGCTTCCTCGCTCTCGGCCGTCCAGGGGCAGGCCCTCAGGACGGGCTTGGCCCTGTGCGGAAGAGGTCCAGGCGGGGGACGTCCTGGTGCACGGCTCCAGTCGTGATTCTCCATGCCGTCGCACTGGCCGCCGCCGCCGCCGTCGACTCGGGGGCAACGCGCCGGGGGGCCATGGGCTCCGAGGGGGACGCGTCGACCCCCAAGCGCCCCCTGCTCGTCAGAACGGGGGGCCGACAGCCCACCCCGCCCCGCCGCCCAGGAGGAGGAGGAGGAGGAGGAGGAGGAGGAGGAGGAGGAGGATGTGGAGGAGGAGGATGAGGAGGAGGATGCTAGGGCAGCGCTCGGTTGCGCCACCGGGTGCCTGTCGCCGATGTATCTGCGCCGTATCGCCGATCCCGGACCCCCGACGTCGTGATTTTTTCCAGGACGTCGACCCTCAAGGGTCTCGACCCCTTCCCCGGGACCCGTGTCTCGTCCCGAGTCGTTGTTTGACGGTCCCTGGGCCCGGCGAGGGCCCCCAGAGGCCGAAAGTATGGAATAATTGACCGTCATGATTTTTTTATTTTTCGAGGGGAGAGGTCCAGGAAGTAGCGGCATCGGCATCTCTCAGTCACCGCAGTTAATTGGGCCCAATTTTTTCGAGAAGCGCGCCGGAGGGCTGCTGTTGCAGGGTCCACTTCGACCCGATCGATCCGATTCGATGTCGATTCCAGCCAGTCGGATCCGGTTCGAGTCTGATATTCCGACGACCCGATGCGGCTCGATGCTGGCATGGCGTTGCTGTGCATCTTGGCGCAGCCGATCTGACTCGAGTCCGAGTCCGTGCCGGTGCATCCGATGCACGTTTCCGTCGGATCCGATGTTCCGCTTCGATGCCGCCTGATCTTGTCAGTGGTGCCAACAGGGGGAAGGGTCGCAGGCCTAGAGGTTGACACCAACACCAAGATCGGTGGTGTGCCTCCACCGAGGGAAGACGATCCCGATCTCGGTGATGGCGGCAACATTCTGGCTTCCAAGGTGACCTAAAGATTACCACCAGGCCAATTTCCAGGCCTCCGAAAGGGGGAGCACTGGGCCGAGGTTCGCTCTTCGAGCCTCAGGGTGCCCTTCCTGGTGCTTCGTGCTCCTCCCTGGGGGCCCTCCTGGCCACGGCCCGATCCGACGCACCGCTCGATCCTGTCCGACTTACCGATTCGCCTCCTCCTCCTCCTCCTCCTCCTCCTCCTCCTCCTCCCCCTCCTCCTCCTCCTCCTCCCCCTCCTCCTCCTCCTCCTCCTCCTCCACCTCCTCCTCCTCCTCCTCCTCCTCCTCCTCCGTGTCGACTGCTCCGGCCGCTGTCGAGGGAGGGAACACCACCCCGACCCCGATGCCTGGCGCTTGCTCGAGGGCCCTGGGCGTTTGCGAGACGGCCCTGCCCTGTTCGATTCCTCCCTTGGGTGCGTTCCCGAAACGGGGCTTCGCTCGTCGGGGTGCGTCGTGTCCCAGGCTCTGCCAAGGGGGCTTCTTGACGGCCCCGAGGCCCGGCGAGGGCCCCCTGAGGCCGAAGATGGACAAGAGCATTCAAAAACCCGCTGCTTCAGTCTTGTTTGAAGCGCCGGATCCCTGGGGCCTGACCCCAAACATGCGACGTCCTGATTTTGTTCAGGACGGCGTCCCTGGAAGTCTCGACCCTTTCCCCGGGACCAGTTTTTCGTCCTGAGTCATTTTCTGACGGTCCCGAGGCCCGGTGAGGGCCCCCGGGGCCGAAAATAGCAAAGACAAATCCCGTCCTGATTTTTTCACGACGCGATCATGTCTTGGTTGGGACCTGACCGATCCTCGCCAGGATTCCCCCCGGCCCGGGGGTGGACTTTCTGCCCTCCGCGTCTAAGGGGCAACGATAGGGGGGGGATGGGCATGGGGGGATGCATCGACCCGCCCAGGAAGATGCGGATTCGCTATCGGGGGCCTGTCGCCGATCTATCGGCGATGCATCGCCGATTCCAGGTCGATGCATCCCCCCTATGCCCATCCCCCCCCCCCCCCCCCCCCCAGACATCCGACGTCTCGATTTTTCCGAGACGCGGGCCCCCGACTTCCCGACCAGTTCCCTGGGACCAGTTTTTCATCCCGAGTCGTTTTTGGACGGCCCCGAGGCGGGGCGAGGGCCCCGAGGGGCCAGAGACTGGGAAAAACCCCTGTCTCTCGATTTGTTCGAGACGCCCGATGCCTGGGCCCTTAGGGGGCCCTGGAAACGACCGGGCCGTTTTTGTTACCGGTTCCGTTCTGCCGTTTTTTTGCCGGTTCCGACGCCGTTTTTGTTACCGGTTCCGTCGCCGGTGTTTGACCGGTTCCGGCTCCGGCTCCAATCCTGGAGCCGTTTTTGTTGCCGCTTCCGGTCGCCGTTTTTTGTTGCCGTTTCCATTTTCAAGGGACATGTTTTTCAGGAGCGACAGAAGGACGTACACGTACATGAATCCACGCTGGTTTCGAGAGTACGCATTGCGCAAATGTTCGTATAACGCGGCCGGTCTCGCGGATCGAGGGGCAGTGTTCATGTACATAGTTGGGCGCGTACGTCCTTTGTGGGCTCCCTAGTTTTTTGGAAACGGTAAAGAAACGGCCCTGCCGTTTCCAGGGCCCACGAAGCCTGGGCCTACCGCTGCCCCTCGACTCCCCCCCATGGCCCGGGGGCGGACTTTTTTTTGCTTTCCGCGCCGCTCCGCCAAAGAGTCGGGGGTGGACAGACCTCCTACCCTCTTCCCTCGGGGGAGGGCAGAACCCGAGGATACGACGATACATAACCCGAGGATAAATCAGCAAAAACCCTTTTTCCCTCGGGGGAGGACAGAGCCCCCAACAGTGACACGTCGATTAGTATATTGTCCGTTTTCGGTTCTCGAGAGGGCGCCGCGACCGTTGTTTTCCAGGCCTGCGCCCGCCAGGTTTGGGCCCGAGGTCGTTTTCACGAAACCACGTTTTGCTAAAGGGAGGTCTGTCCATCCCCGAAAGAGAGGCCAGCCTCGCCCGGCTCCTCGGCGCCCGCGGCGCGGCCGGCCGCTGGGAGCAGGCGCTGGGCCTGCTGCGGCGGGCGCGCCGCGCCGCCTGCGAGGTCGACGCCCCCGCGTACAACGCGGCCATCACCGCGGTGGGCAGGCCCCGGGGGGGAGCAAGGGATCAAGCAGTGGCGAAGCGTCTTGGCTCGCCTATAGCCCTACCAAACATTTTTTTTTTTTATAAAAAAAAAAAAAAAAAAAAAAAAAAAAAAAAAAAAAAAAAAAAAAAAAAAAAAAAAAAAAACGGTGGTTCCCACGACATGTTCTTAGAACATTTCTGGCGGAGATTGTCTTGTTTCAACACATCGGGCGTACGTTCTAAGAACATTGTTTTTGTTCTTAGAACATTTTTGGGCTCTAAGAACATTTCGTGGTAGGACTATAGGAATGCCGGGACGGTCGGTCCCTGCTCAAAGGGAGGAAGAAGTACCCCCAGACATGGTCACGTCCCAAAAAGATGATCAGGGCGTTTTTCTGTTTTTTGCAATTTTCGGCCCCGGAGGGCCCTCGCCGAGCCTCGAGACCTTCCAAAGACGATTCGGGATGAGAAGCCGGTCCCGGGGAAAGGGTCGGGAGCAAGGGAGGAAGAGGTACCCCCAGTCGGGGGCGGCAAAGAGGGGGGTGATGACTAGGGGGGGCGTGGATATCGTGGCGTGGGCCATGATATTTCCCCAGATGTCATGGCGCCCCTTCTTATTTCAGTACGTGCCTGGCCCCCCGCTGGGCCGCGCACATGCCGCCTGTCATGATTTGCACCCCCTCCTCTTGGACACCCCCCTCATGGCCGCTCCCGACCCAGACAGGGCCACGTCGAATGAAAAGAGCAGGGCGTTTTTTTTGTTTTTTTTTGCAATTTTCGGCCCCGGGGGGGCCCTCGCCGAGCCTCGGGACCTTCCAAAGAAGATTCGGGATGGGGAAAGGGTCGGGACCCAGAGATCCAACGTATTGAAACAATCAAGGCGGAGGGTTCTCCATATTTTCGGCCTCTGGGGGGACCTTCCCAGGGCCTCGGGACCGTCAATAAACGACTCAGGACGGTTTTCCCGTTTTCGCGAAAAGTGCGTTCGGGTTGCACATGTCGGCGCCAGGTTCACGGGTTTACGGATTTACGGGTTTCCCTGCCGCCCCCCCCCCTCCCCCAGCTTTGCGAAAAGTCAGTTCCGGGTGCACATTTCGGCCCCAAGTTAAGAGGTTTACGGATTTACGGGTTTTCCCGCCCCTCCCCCGCCCAACCCTGTTCGATTTCAGCAGTTCCAACGGGTGCGCGCGTGGGGTAAAGATGTTCCTCCAATTCCTTCCTCGTCCTCCTCCCCGTCCTCCACCTCCTCCGTCTCCCGTTTCTGCTCCATCGCATGCTGATTCCCACGAATCATCAACACCGTCGCCACCACCATCATCACTACTATCTTCACCATCATCACACGTCACCACCTTCATCGTCACTACCAGATTCAACATCACCCTCGTCATCTTCGTCACCATCACCATCACCATCACCCATCATCACAACCATACGCAATTTGCTCATCGTACTCATCCTTGTCCTCCTCGTCCTCACCCGGCTTCCCCATTCCATCATCATCATCATCATCATCATCATCATCATCATCAGCATCATCATCATCATCATATTCATCATCATCATCAGCATCATCATCATCATCATCATCATCATCATCACCATCATCATCATCATCATCATCAGCATCATCGTTGCCCCCTCATGCACGTGTCACCACCATCATCACCACTGCAGGCCACGTTGGAAAATGCAGGCGGGGGAGGAGGAGGAGGAGAAGGAGGAGGCGGAGGAGGAGGAGGCGGAGAGGGAGGAGGAGGAGAAGGAGGAGGAGGACGGGGAGGATGCCCCAAGCCTCCTGGCAAGCCTTGTGGGTAATCGTTCCAGTGTTTCGCGGGCCTTTAAAGGGACCTCCACCGCCATCGCCATCAACGCCAACACCGTGGACCGTTTTGGCTCAAACCATCTGAGGCTCAAAGCCACCGTGTGATACCACATCGGCCACCATGGCAACAAATGCATTTTATGCGGCCGTTCTGTCGCGTCGGCGGCCGGAGCGCGTGAGCATGATGAAGCATTTTTCTGGTGGCGCTCTGTCCTCTGTTATGAGATGGTACGTCCCAGCGCGGGACAGGGCCGCATACATTACAGAGGGCGCCGAACTGGGCCCCGAGCACGGGCCTAGTCTAATCTCGCGGGCGAAATGCGCAATGTGCGACGCGCAAGGCTTACATAAATGCTTGTTGTTGTTAGCCGACGATTGCGAGGCCCTTCGCAGCACAGAGTTTGCGGGGTCGAGTTGGACGACATCAAAAGGCATTGTTGTGACGCTCTTGCAAACAGCTTGGGCGCTCAAGGGGGCCATGGCCCAAGTTGGTGCCAAGCTTGGTGGTCTGCCCCCTAACGACAGTGCCTTGTGCTACGCCAAGGATCGCTCTCCCGCTTTCTCCCTGGATGCTTTGCGTCGCGGTGATTTGTCGTTGGTTCACCCGGAGGGCGACGTTCGGATTTACAGCGGCGTACCGTCAGGATGCACATGGGACTTTGAATTGTCGTGCGCCCATGTAAAAAGATATGGTGGTCTTCTCCGATTGAACCACGTAATACCAGCTGCCTACGGCATGTCCGCCGCCGTGCCTGGGTTGTGAGTTCTAGGCCTCTTGGACGTTCGTTGGGATATCGTGGGAGGCCTCCCGGGCATGTTGGAGGCAGTCTTGAGGCCTCTCGAGCACCTCTTGGGGGCTTCCTGGGGGCCTCTTGGGGCCACTTGGGGGCCTCTTGCGAGCCTCTTGGGGGCCTCTTGGGACTCCCCGGGGGCCTCTCGGGGCCCTGGGCTCGAAATGTCCGTTCGGGCCCCTCGTCTGGGCCCCCTTTTGAAGCCGTATTGGGGTCCTCTTGGGCCGCGTTGGAGGCCCTTTGGGCCATCCTGGGGCGCGCTTGGGCCGTCTTGGAGCCCTCTTGGAAGCCAGCAGGGCCGTCTTAGCGGCGATCTTGGGGGCTCATTGGGTCGTTTTGGAGCGTCGGGGAATTAACAATGCTTAAAAACTTCAGGGTAATGTATGATTCCTGCTTCTTGGGGACCTCTTGGCAAGGCTCTCGTAGGCTTCTTGGGCCATCGTAGAGGCCCTCTTGGGCCGCCCCAGGGCCATCTGGGGCCGTCTTGGAGGCATCTTGCGCCATCTTGGGAACCTGGGTGGATTTCCTGGGCCGTCACGGAGGCCTTGGAGAGCTCCAGGAAGACGCCGTGGCCGCCTGGGCCCCCCCCGGGAGTAGAGGCGACGCAGCGTTGCCGAAGCGCGCCCCGGAGGGTGGCCCCTTAGAAGATTGCAGAACCTTTGCCAGGCAGCCCTTGGCATTCTTCCACGCCTCAACGCGCTGCAGGCACGGTGGCGGACCTTATCTTCGCGCAACTTTGATTTGGAGGGCGGTTTCGGCCAGCGAGGATCCGCAAGAAACGCCGTGGAGAAGCGAGCCGCCTCTTTCATGAAAAAAAGACGATGGCCTGAGCGGGCGCGCGACGGACAGGGCGACGCGCCCGGGCATGTCACCATGAGTGCCGCGCATTAGTCTATCAAGTGCACGCGCGGCGACCGGTCCCAGACAGTTGCTGCGCCCTTCGCCGGGCGGTCGCCGTGCCGAGTTGTTGGCGGGCAGGCGAAGCCGCGCAAGTACTTGAAACGCGCCGGTGTAGAGTCGCCATCCAAAGCAGCCAGCAAGAGGGCCGGGCGAGAAAAAGAGAGGACTCGCAAGGTTCGGAAGCTCCTGTCGGGGGCTGGTGGGCCGATGCGCGGGGCCGTCGGGAAGGCGCAGCGCCCCGTCGTTGAGCACGCCTGCCCGCGCCGCGGCGGTTCCGCCCCAACGACCGTTGTTGCGGGGCGCGCGCGCGATCCAAAGCAGG